ATGTACAACACAGAGTATATAGTGCAGGGGTCAGGAGTATGTAATGTACAACATAGAGTATATAGTGCAGGGGTCAGGAGTATGTAATGTACAACATAGAGTATATAGTGCAGGGGTCAGGAGTATGTAATGTACAACATAGAGTATATAGTGCAGGGGTCAGGAGTATGTAATGTACAACATAGAGTATATAGTGCAGGGGTCAGGACTCTAATACATACAAAAATGTATAGTATAGAGGTCAGTACTATGTAATGTGCAATATGAATGTAGAACCCTTTGACACCCCAAAGGCAGGATGGCACCTCCAGAGGTCAGGGGTGCTCACCCCAGAGCCGAGTCCATGGCTAAAATATGGGGACTGAGAAAGGATATTGGGCACCAGTCACTTTTGTCTTTTTAAAGTTTTATTTAGAAGGGTTGGGGAGGTGAGGGCTGGGGGACCCAGATACCATGACAGATCACCGACAGACTCTGCAGATCAATGTCCAGCCTCACAGAACCTTTAAGCCGACTGAATGACTCTGTAAACACGTTCCCAAATGTCAGTGAGTCCTCCAAAAGAGTCACCGGGTCCTTCTGAGAGACCAGCCTTCTTCATGGCTCCCTCCAGCCAGGGGCCTCCCCTGGGTCTCCTCCTTGGCACAGCTTCCTTCAGACCAGACAGGACAGCTTCAGGACCACTTCACACATTAGGTCCCAAAACAGGCTATTGGGCCTAACAGCAGAGCTCCATCCAGCAGCACCTCCCTAGACCTCAGCCCATGGAAAGAGCACATGGCCTGTCCCAAATATTTATTTCCTCCCCCAGCATGCTCCAGGGGCATAAACCTCCTACTGGATTGGCTGAAGAAAATATACCGTATTTTTCGCACCATAAGACGCACTTTTTTCCCCCCAAAAAAGGGGGGAAAATGTCAGTGCGTCTTATGGAGCGAATATGGAGCGGCCGGTCCAGTATTTCCACTGCCGCCGCCGAATGTCAGAATACCGGGCCGGCCGCTCAGCTCTACAGCGGGACCTTATAGAGATGACTGCTGACCTTTGGGGAGGGGGACGAGCGGGTACCTGAATTTGACAGGTACCCGCTCCCACTTCCGTGGAGTTGTTCTTTCATCTTACCCGTTCCTCTATCCAGCGGCGCGGTCTTCCCCAGCTTCTGTAGTGTGGGCATGACAGCCGGGTGCCAAGTGCGCATGCGCAGGAAGCGGTGCTTTTTGTGAATGGTAAGGCGGCACCTGGGACACATGACAGATCCCAGAAGCCGCCGGACCAATCACAAAGCGCAAGTGCTTCTCACTCATGCGCACTGGGCACCCGGCTGTCATGCCGAGCGCCATTACAGAAGCCGGGAAGACAGCGCGCCGCTGGATAGAGGAACAGGTAAGATCAAAGAACAACTCCGCGGAAGTGGGAGCGGGTATCTGTCAAATTCAGGTACCCGCTCCCAACCCCTCCCCAAAGGTCAGCAGTCATCCCCTGTACTATCCACAGTCTCTGGTCATCCCTGTACTATGTCCGCAGTCTCTGGTCATCCCTGTACTGTGTCCGCAGTCTCTGGTCATCTCCTGTACTGTCCGCAGTCTCTGGTCATCCCCTGTACTGTGTCCGCAGTCTCTGGTCATCCCCTGTACTGTGTCCGCAGTCTCTGGTCATCTCCTGTACTGTGTCCGCAGTCTCTGGTCATCTCCTGTACTGTGTCCGCAGTCTCTGGTCATCCCCTGACTGTCTCCCCACTGTCATGTCCTACTGCAGTCTCTGGTCATCCCCTGAACTGTGTCCGCAGTCTCTGGTCATCCCCTGAACTGTGTCCGCAGTCTCTGGTCATCCCCTGAACTGTGTCCGCAGTCTCTGGTCATCTCCTGTACTGTGTCCGCAGTCTCTGGTCATCCCTGTAACTGTGTCCGCAGTCTCTAGTCATCTCCTGTACTATGTCCGCAGTCTCCTGGTCATCTCCTGTACTGTGTCCGCAGTCTCCCCCATCTCCTGTACTGTGTCATCTCCTGTACTGTGTCCGCAGTCTCTGGTCATCCCCTGTACCGTGTCCGCAGTCTCTGGTCATCCCTGTACTGTGTCCGCATCCTCCTCTGGTCATCTCTCTGTACTATGTCTGCAGTCTCTGGTCATCTCCTGTACTATGTTCGCAGTCTCTGGTCATCTCCTGTACTGTGTCCGCAGTCTCTAGTCATCTCCTGTACTGTGTCTGCAGTCTCTGGTCATCTCCTGTACTATGTCTGCAGGTCATCTCCTGGTCTGCAGTCATCTCCTGTACTGTGTCTGCAGTCTCTGGTCATCTCCTGTACTATGTCTGCAGTCCATTAGTTCAGAATTTTTTTTTCCTGTTTTCTGCCTCTAAAACCTAGGTGCGTCTTATGGTCAGGTGCGTCTTATGGAGCGAAAAATACGGTAAATGTTAACTTAATCCATATTAAACACAAAGAAAATATTATATTGCAGCTTACCGATTCTGAGATGTGATGGCTGCATTAGTTTTCTTCTATATTCATCTGGTGATCTAGCCCGTAAATCTGTTTTATAAAAACTCTACAGCAGAATGTATCAGTTCCAGGGATGAGGCAGACCACTTACCACTGACAGGGGGCTTACAATGAGCAGCTTTTATTTATTCATGTGAAACTTTTATCCCAAAAGGAAAAAACTGATGTAAACTGATTATGAAGTGTGAGCTGGAGTTTGGCTTCAATTAGTTACTGTTTTTATATCTGCTAATACATCTAACACTCCCCTCCCCCCAGACTGACCATGCTGCGGTCTCCACAGTGGGGGCGCTCTAATACAGAAGGTGTGTTACTGGCCAGATCACCAGGTGAAAACAGGGAAAAGAGCCAAAGAAAAGGAATGCAGCCGCCACACCCAATGATTGGTAAGCTGCAATATGGGACATTTGTGGTTTAACCCATTTCAATACCGGGCAATTTTCCCCCTTCCTGCCCAGGCCAATTTTCAGGTCTCAGCGCTCTCACACTTTGAATGACAATTGCGCGGTCATACAACATTGTACCCAAACTAAAATTTTATCATTTTCTTCACACAACTAGAGCTTTCTTTTGGTGGTATTTAATCACCACTGGGGTTTTTATTTTTTGCTAAATTAACAAAAAAAAACCAAAAATTTTGAAAAAAAAAACACATTTTTCTTTGTTTCTGTTATAAAAGTTTACAAATAAATAATTGTTCTTCATAAATTTAGGCCGAGATGTATTCTGCTACATGTCTTTGGTGAAAATAACCCAAATTAGGATGTATTTTTTAGTTTGTAGGAAAGTTATAGAGTTCACAAACTATGGTATAGATCTGAATATTGATCAATCCTGAAGTACTGACAGCCAATCTAATTTCTTGAGGTCCAAGAATGTCAGAACAGTACAGATATCCCCCAAATGTCAGAACAGTACAGATATCCCCCCAAATGTCAGGACAGTACAGATATCCCCCAAATGTCAGGACAGTACAGATATCCCCCCCTTCCTGTCAGGACAGATATCCCCCCCTTCCTGTCACAGATATCCCCCAAATGTCAGGACAGTACAGATATCCCCCAAATGTCAGGACAGTACAGATATCCCCCAAATGTCAGGACAGTACAGATATCCCCCAAATGTCAGGACAGTACAGATATCCCCCCAAATGTCAGGACAGTACAGATATCCCCCAAATGTCAGCACAGTACAGATATCCCCCAAATGTCAGGACGGTACAGATATCCCCCAAATGTCAGGACAGTACAGATATCCCCCAAATGTCAGGACGATACAGATATCCCCCAAATGTCAGGACGGTACAGATATCCCCCAAATGTCAGGACGGTACAGATATCCCCCAAATGACCCCTTTTTGCAGAGTAGACAGTCCGACGTACTTCATAAGAGGCATGGCGAGTTTTTTGAAGTTGTATTTTTTTGTCATAATTTTTCGGAAAACGAAAAAATTAAAAAAATTATTTTCACTAATTTTTTTTTTACATCCTGTCACCAGTGCAGTACAGCGTCATCATATAACTGGCATGGCGGTGATCAGGGACACTGACTGGTGACAGTGTGAAAAAAAAAAATATATATATTTTTTTTTTAATTTTTTTATTATAATTAATTTTGTATTATTTTTTTTTTTTTTTTAAGATTTTTTTTTCATATTTTACTATGACCAAAGTAGCACAATGTTACCATAGTAACATTGTACTACTTTGGGGAAAGTGATCAGTATTTTTTTTTTTTTACACAATTTGCTTATAGCAAAGAATGACTTTGCTATAAGCAAGCATTTACCTGAATGACATCGATTCATTCAGCTTTTTTTTTTTGGTTTTTTTTTTTGTGCTTAGCTGTGATTTGGGTCACAGCTAATCACATGACATGTGCATTTGATTAGCTGTGACCATTCACAGCTAGGCACTAGTATACAATGGATGGCATCATGAATGAAGCCATCCATTGTATACAACTGTCATGTGACCTGCTGTGATTGGTCACAGCAGGTCACATGGTACCAGCAACGGGGGAGCCGGTACTCGGATCTGTCATCGGCCGTGTCCAAGGTGCACGGCCAGTGACAGATCGCACTGCTGCGCCGCTCTGCATTAGCGCAAACGGCGCATTGGTCGGGCGGCTAATGGTTAACCCCTCGTCTACCGGGCACTTCTACCCCCTCCCTGCCTACCGGGCACTTCTACCCCCCCTTCCTGCCTACAGGGCACTTCTACCCCCTTCCTGCCTACAGGGCACTTCTACCCCCTTCCTGCCTACCGGGCACTTCTATCCCCTTCCTGCCTACTGGACACTTCTACCCCCTTCCTGCCTACCAGGCACTTCTACCCCCTTCTTACCAGGCCAATTTTCAGCTGTCAGCGCTGTCGCACTTTGATTGACAATTGCGCGGTCATGCAAGATTGTACCCATATGAAATTTGTATCATTTTTTTCTCACAAATAGAGCTTTCTTTTGGTGGTATTCAATCACTGCTGGGTGCTTTACTTCTTTGTGCTATAAACAAAAAAAGTAAAAAAAATTTAAAAAAAAGATTCTTTGTTTCTATTATAAAAATTTTCAAACAGGTAATTTTTCTCTTTCACTGATGTGCGTTGATGAGGCAGCACTGATGGGCACTAATAGGCAGCACTGATGGCCAGCACTGATGGGCACTGATAGGCAGCACTGATGGGCGGCACTGATAGGCAGCACTAATGAGGTGGCATGAATAGGCAGCACTGATAGGCGGCACTGATAGACAGCACTGATAGGTGGCACTGACTAGCATCACTGCTGGGCACTGACTGGCGGCACTCCTAGGCATTGACTGGTGGCACTGACTGCAGCACTGCTGGGCTGCACTGATTGGCACTGGTGAGTGGCACTGGTAGGCACAGGTGGGTGGCACTGCTGGGTGGCACAGGTGGGTGCACTGTTGGGCACAGGTGGGCAGAACCTTTGGGTGGCACTGCTGGGCACCAATCATCAGGGCACTGATTATCAGTGCCCTGATGATTGGTGCCGATCCCCGCTCTAACAACTGTCGGTTCTCGGCAGAACTTTCCTCACGATCTGACAGTGTGAGGAAAGTGCAGCCGATAACCAGCAATTGCATTTCCCGGTGATCAGCGTGCCATTGGACACGGCTGATCACGTGGTAAAAGGCCGCTGTGATTGGCCTTTTACCACATCACATGATCAGCTGTGACCGTAGGACACAGCGATCACAGAGATCACCAGGTGCACGCCCCCTGGGGTGAGCAGGAAAGCGCGTTCTGGGAGGACATCATATGACGCCTACCCAGAACTGGCCGGCCTCAGTGTAGCCGTCATTCAGCTATCTGTGGTTGGCAACTAGTTTATATCCCTTTAGTTTGGTTGGTGAAATCTCATCCTATGTCCAGTGATAGCAGTGACATCTACTGGCCACAGTGAGACATCACAAGACAACCTAAACTTAGGGAGAAACCAAGTGAAGAACTATACAATCAGCCTGAGCCAAGTACAGCCCATAACTAAACCCACATAGTACCTCTATTCAGGGGGGGGCGACACTAATAAATAGTGTAAGGATCACATCAAATTGGTGTTTAGTAATCAGTGATCACTTACAGTGGTTGTAACCCTCAGACATGGATTATGAACAAACATATCCCTCTACAGTGTGTCTCACTCCAGAGCACGAAGTATCATTTCTGTCTGCTGTCTCCTTCCTATACGATCAGCATGAGTCACTTCTGACAAATGTTCTTGACACCAAGAGAAGAAAGGTGACAGGGGAGGAGCTCCAGCTCACAGCCTGTGATTGAAAGCCTCAGCTCTGTTCTTGTGTGAAAGGGGTGTGTCCCTTTCCTCCAATCATCTCTCAGAGCTTACTTTATTGAGCTCTGCAGAATGTGACCATCTCTCTTCCCCTTTTTTTCTGACTTCTCAGACAAGCTGTATAAATTCTGGACTTTGAACAGGTGAAGAGAGGGCTGAAA